CTTTAAATCGTCAAGAGCGTCCGCACAGCGATATGCTACTTCAGCATGACGCTCAGCGCAGCTACGATCACGAAGGATCTCATCCTCTAGGGCTCGAAGAGCATCGCGAGTTACCGCCCGACACCGACTCTTCTCGATAAGAACGGTGAAGTTCACTACACGTGGAACGTCTAGTGAGACGACGTCGTCACTAGGGTCAGACCCGATATCTGGTGAAGTGGCGGGGTTTCCGACTCCAGAAACTCCACTTCGGCAAGATTGCCCAGACGCCGTTGACGCTTTTAATCAGAAAGATTAGGACGCCCCGCGCTTCCCGGCAATAGCCAGGGATGTAAAGGGGCCATGAGCTGAGCTGAAGCAGTGGCCCTGAGCTCTTGCGGTCGCGGACACAGAGCTCGCGGGAGCGTTAGGGGTTTACTCCATACGTCGCAGGGCGACAATCCGAAGAATGGCGACGGCGTGCTTTGAGTTTGGCAAACTCAAATCAGAGGTGTCGCTTCACACGCACGTCCACTTCCTTGTGGCTTTACTGTAAAGCATACAGTGAGGAAATTTTTTGGCGCCGTTGAACCCATCGCTCAAAAAACGCTTCGTCATCTGTAGCGCTTTCGCCAGGGGCGAGCACTACAGATATCGTCCGCATTGCGGGTACACGAGAGCCATCTCGTCGAGCACGCAGACGAGTGCGATAAACTTCCAGCAGAAATTAATGTAGAACCAAGAAACGAGCTCGAAGAGCTTTCCATTCGGCAAGCTTATCTTTCGTAATGGCCGGGGGCTCGATGATGTGGAGGCGTAACGATCGTGTAACCACGTCCTTCGCTTCCACAGCGGGATCCGCCGGGTGGAAGCCATGTTCCACGCGACGGTCAATGACCGACCGTGGATGGGCGCGCATCAGAGCCGCCTTACAAACAGCTTCTAGCTGCCGCTTCTGTGCCTCATCGAAGTCATTGGTGATTACACCACGTTCCTCGGTTGACGAGAATTCAGGAAACGGACATGGGCTCCGCAAGGCGCGAGCAGGGCTCGTCTCACGCCACTGGTGCGGTTCGCCTTCCTCGTCATTCCATCCGGGAAAAGAGTGTCAGAGTCGTAGTCGACCACCTCCACATCCTCAGCGAGGTCTCTCGTCACCGTTAGCGTCCGCGGAGCGCAACGCTCGGGCTCATCAAGCCTTGGATTTACATTTCTCGGCGCCGCGGAGACACGGTCCGACATGGCACCGTGTGCGGGAGATAAAGCTGGGCTCTGCCCGTTAGCGCTGTCGGAACCATCGGGACTTGGAGACTTCGGTGTCATTGACACAGGGATCATTAAACACGGAAGTCGTTTCGTTCCAACGCAGTGTCTAACT